ATACAACTTAGCTTGGGTTGAATGAACTAGCTGGGTGGGTTTACAATAGACAACTACCGTGCTGTATTTTGTCGGGCCTGACCGTAAGATCCTCTACTCTTGCTACTCGTCATAATGAATCAAAGACAGGATAGCATCAAGTTTTATTGAGGGCACAGATCTTCAATCTAACAATAAAACTTGTTTAAGTCTACAGAAAAGCTTTAAGACTACAATTCAACAATATATCATCCATTATACAACTCATACAAAATCATAATCTCAGGCCTTAAAAACTGTAGCTTTGCTAGGAAATATACAAAAATGAACATACAAAACACAAAGAATACATTTAAATATCTGAAAAATATATTTACCACATTAGTCCTCCAATTTTAACATGATAATCAGTAAATATATCACACAAATACAAGTTTACAATAATACTGGAAAAAATTGAAAAGAACAACACACGCGAGTTTCTTGTGCATGCATAGACAGATGAATTTGTCGGCAAAAACAGGTTTCATCTCCAGCAGCTTCATCTTGAAAACAGGGGTGCCTTATAGACTTCATGACAAAGCATGTGGTTGCATTACATACCATTTTGCTGATAAAGTTAAAATTATTTAAAATTTTTTTATTACAAGCAATTTAAAAGTTGTGATCTATTTTAGACCATTCCTGATAAATGATTTTTAAATGAATTTTAATAACTTATTTTCAATGATATAAGTTTATTATCTTTCCCAACCTGTTTCTATTTATCAAACTTGTCTCAGAAAATGAGAGATGAAGAATTTGGAGAGGAAGTATTTTGAGTTGGGGAGGGTAGGTTGAGATGGTAGGATATATAAGAATATAAAAAGACTTCTTAATCTTTAACCAGCAATATGATGTTCTCTCTCTCTCATGAATCGAGTGGTTGCAAATTAAAGAAGTATATTGATCAGATCTGGTCACATAAAGAATATAGGGTTCATTGCACTCGCTTTGACAGCGAGGGTGGTACGTGGATCGAACAGTTCTATTCTTCTTTGTAGAGTTACATCTTGAATCCTTTCTCTTTACTGGTTCTATATCGACTGTGTCTAGCCTGCTTTTTGCAGATTGCCAAATTCAGGGCAAATTTAAAGATAGTAATATTTGACAATATAAACACTTTTAGGCTTAACAAAGATAAGATAAGATAAGATAAGATAAGATAAAGTTTATTGCTAAAATAAATGTATCTGTATACAGATAGAGTTTACACTCACAAAATTGATGATTATATTAACAGTACAAGTATAAAGCAATTAGGTGGAAAATAGCTCTTGGCTGTTTTGATTATTTTTTCTACCTAATGTTAGGAATTATAATAACAAAATATTTTAATTAAATAGATTTAAGGAGAGCGATTAGAGATCAGGTTGCAAATTTATCAAATGCAAAATAGTTTATACATAAATTCGAATAACTAGAGTTTAAATTAATTTTCAGACATGTACACAACAAATATCAAAGCATATTAAAACATATCTAATTAGTTTTACATGAATAGCAATTCGGTTTATAACACATTGTCCTATAATTTTCAAAAAGAGAATTTAGTAGTCTATTTTTAAATATACTTAGAGAGTTGCTTCTTTTTAAGTCAAGAGGCAGGTTATTCCACATCTTAAGAAGAGAGCTTGATGGTAAATACTGTAATGAGCACATTTTGAGAATGTCAAGTTGATAGTTAAGAGATCTTTCAAAGTTTCCAAGCTTTTTAAAAATATTTTCAAAAGATGCAGGAAGAAGTTTATGTGTATATTTATACATAAATATAGCTTGGTTAAAGTCTACCAGATCATTAATCTTTAGAATCTTATACTTAAGGAAAAGAGGATCACT